CTGCCTGTGTCCCAGCTGCTGCCACCGCTGGGGGGGACAAGACCCCTCCCGTGAGCCCTCAGAGAGCCCCTGGCCCTGTCCCAGCTGCTGTCACCGCTCCAGGGGCCACAGTTCCCCCTGTGAGCCCTGTCACTGCCTGTGTCCCAGCTGCTGCCACCGCTGGGGGGGACAAGTCCCCTCCCATGAGCCGTGTCCTGGCTCCTGCCACCACTGCGGGTGCCAAATCCCCCCCTGGGAGCCCCGTCACTGCCCCTGTCCCAGCTGCTGTCACTGTTCCGGGGGACAAATCCTCCCCTGTGAGCCCTGGCTCTGACCCAGCTGCTGCCACCGCCACGGGGGTCAAGTCCCCTCCTGGGAGCCCTGTCCCTGTCCCGGCTGTTGCCACCGCTGCGGGGACCAAATTGCCTCCTGGGAGCCCTGAAACAGCCCCTGTCCCTGTCCCCGCTCCGACCACCGCTGCAGGGGCCAAGTCCCCTCCTGTAAGCCCTGGAACAGCCCCTGTCCCTGCTCCAGCCACTGCCGCGGGGACCAAGTCCCCTCCCGTGAGCCCTGTCACCGCTCCGGGTGCCAAATCGCCACCTGTGAGCCCTGTCCCAGCTCCTGCCACCGCTCCAGGGGTCACATTTCCCCCCGTGAGCCCTGTCACTGCCCCTGTCCCAGCTGCTGCCACTGCTGCGGGGGACAAATCCCCTCCCGTGAGCCCTCAAACAGCCTCTGTCCCTGTCCCTGCTCCGGCCACTGCTGCGGGGGCCAAGTCCCCTCCCGTGAGCCCTGTCCCAGCTCCTGCCCCTATTCCAGGTGCCAAATCCTCCCCTGTGAGCCCTGGCCCTGTCCCGGCTCCTGCCACCGCTGTGGAGGCCAAATCCGCCCCCGGGAGCCCTGAAAAAGCCCCTGTCCCAGCTGCTGTCACCGCTCCGGGGGCCAAATCCTCCTCTGTGAGCCCTGGCCCTGGCCCAGCTCCAGCCAGCGCTCCAGGGGCCACTTCCCCCTCTGTGAGCCCTGGCCCAGCTGCTGTCACCACTGTGGGGGCCAAATCTCCTCCCGTGAGCCCTGGCCCAGGTGCTGCCACCGCTCCAGGGGTCACATTTCCCCCCCTGAGCCCTGTCATTGGCCCTGTGCCTGCTCCGGCCACCGCTGTGGGGGCCAAGACCCCTCCTGTGAGCCCTGAAACAGTCCCTGTCCCTGCTCCGGCCACTGCTGCGGGGGACAAGACCCGTCACGGGAGCCCTGTCACTGCTCCTGCCATCATTCCAGGTGCCAAATCACCACCCGTGAGCCCTGGCCCTGTCCCGGCTCCTGCCACTGCTGTGGGGGACAAGTGTCCCCCCGGGATCCCTGGCCTAGCTCCGACCACTGCTAGTCCGGGGGCCAAATCCCCCGCTGTGAGCCCTGGCCCTGTCCCGGCTCCCGCGGTGGCAGCAGCCCCCCCTGCCAAGAGCCCCGGTGCTGCCCCTGCTGCTGCTCCCTCTGCTCCTGCAGCCCCTGCGGCCGCCACGGCGCCGCCTGCCGCC